CGCCCAACTCAATTAAAAATTACGAAGCCCAATAGCCCGTTTATTCCTTGACCACACAAAATAGTTTCGATGATAATTTACATGGACGAAATCTCCATACCACAACCAAACAAACAAACAAAATGAAAATGGATGGCGTTCCTTATCCCAAAATCTTTCCCTTTCCAGCTACGCTTCACTCCCCTCCTCCAACACTTGTTCGGTCGTCGTCGTCGCTGCCGCCATAACCTCCACCGTCTTCGCCATGGACACTCTGTTCATGAACCAGTCTTTATCTCGCGTCGAGTACTTCATCTCCGCTACTAAGCCAAGCCTCCCGCTCTGTTTCTGTCGTAAATCCCTCAACTTTGTACCCTCACCGACCCACTTCAAACCCATCAGGACCCTCGCCGTCTCCGCCGTCCAACAAACACAGAAGATACTACGGCAGGGGAATATTAACGACGATGAAGATGAGGAGGAGGAGTCGTACGGCGAAGTCAACAGGATTATCGGCAGCAGAGCGCTTGAGGGTGGGATTGGGATGGAGTACTTGATAGAGTGGAAAGACGATCATGCTCCTTCGTGGGTTCCTCAGAATTTCATAGCCAAGGATGTGGTGGCGGAGTACGAAACTCCCTGGTGGACCGCCGCCAAGAAAGCCGACGATAAGGAGCTGAGCCGTCTCATATCCGCCGAAGACGATTGGCGGGATGTGGATGCTGTGGACAGCGAGGGCAGGACTGCTCTCCTGTTTGTATCCGGACTGGGATCCGAGGAGTGCGTCCGTGTGTTGGTGGAAGCCGGAACGAATTTGAACCACCGGGATAATGCCGGCGGCTTAACGGCGCTTCATATGGCTGCTGGGTACGTGAAACCCGGAGTCGCGAAATTGTTGTTAGATCTGGGCGCCGACCCGGAGGTAGAGGACTACCGGGGATTGACGCCGTTGAATTTAGCCAAAGAAATACTCAAAGTAACACCGAAAGGAAACCCCATCCAATTTGGGAGAAGATTGGGGCTGGAGAGTGTAATCAGAGTCCTGGAGGATGCGATTTTCGAGTACGCAGAGGTGGAGGAGATTCTGGAGAAGAGGGGGAAGGGGCATCGGGTGGAGTATCTGGTGAAGTGGAAGGACGGCGAGGACAATGAGTGGGTGAAAGCGGGGTTCGTGGCGGAGGATCTGGTAAAGGACTTCGAAGCAGGGCTGGAGTACGCGGTGGCGGAGTCGGTGGAGGCGAAGAGAGTGGGGGATGACGGGAAGACGGAGTATCTGGTGAAATGGACGGATATGGAGGAGGCGACGTGGGAGCCGGAGGAGAATGTTGATCCTGATTTGATCAAGGAGTTTGAGGCGGGAAGGAACGGTGGGGATGGCAATTTGGAGGCAGAATCAAGTGGGGATGGTTCCATGAATTAATTCACCAGTTTCTTTTTTTTCTTTCTTTGTAATTTTTTCAATGAGCATTATTTTGAATGAAAATCCGTATTATATATTTAGTTAAGATCAAAAAAATAAAAATACATTTGTATTATATATTTAGTCATGTTGATTGATATTCATAATCATGGTAAGTGCAAGATTCTTCCATTGGTTTGGTTAGAACTTGAGATTTAAACCATAAGTTGATGGAAAGAATTTGTTAAAAATAGCCGTTTAGTATGTGCTAAAAAATAATTTCATAACTCTTAAGAGTATGGTTGATTTAAATAAATCATATGATAAAGATAAATTTTTTTTAATTAAATTGTAATATTCACAAATGTCATAGTTTGATTTAAAAAATAATTTCATAACTCTTAAGAGTATGGTTGATTTAAATAAATCATATGATAAAGATATATATTTTTTAATTAAATTGTAATATTGACAAAAATTATAATTTAATTAATTAAAATCATACCTTTTCTTTCATTCCTTTCATTTTTTTCAAACCAAACGTACTCTTAATATTTCTTATTTTCTAAGATTAATTTTACAGTAATTATTTTTCTGTAGCAACAACCAGAGGACCACCGATAATTCCAAACAAATTCAATATCTCAGATCTTTTACTTTAACAAAAACCTTCAAAAGTACTTATTTGTCACCATTTTCCAATTTTGCAACTATTTCTTGTACGATGGCCAAATAAAAACAAAGGGGGCAAAATTAATATACGCAATTAATTACACAAAATTACATAAATTAACTATTTTTTACTCAATTTAATTACACAAAATTAATACTAAATAGCAACTGAGCAATACCCATTCAAAATTCATTTTCATCACTCACATATTTTCATGTAAATTCATGATCTTAATCACCCTAGTGTACATATGACTTGTTGAAAATATCAAAAGCATGCTAAAAGTCTAGAAATACATAAAGTTATGTAGCAGATCTAAGATTTGAGAATAATATGTAGTAAGAGAGAAATGTGATTTACCTAAATAAGACGGGCAAGTCGCGACCAATCCCTTACTCTATCTTGCTCATCAGGACTTACATCTTAGAAAAACCAACCATCAAAATGTGAGAATGAAGACGGTTTTCATTGGGACTGAAAGTGGGGGGCTGAGATAAATGGAGTGACTGAGATCTACGGGATCTTACCAGAAGGAAGAGGCCTTTCTTTCTAGACGAAGTCAGTTTATTTCTACTAGGTCTGTTGACTTGGGTTTACTTTTATAAAGCACGTGCACTTCAGACTCTCTTTTTTCTTTTTTTGGTAGATCTTCAGCCTGTCTCTTTGGCCGGCAAAAATATATGGAAAGCCCTTATTTTAGGTGTGTTCAGTGTAACTTTTCAATTCCTTTAATTTTTTTTTATACTATTTATATTTTATAAATTTAAATTTTTTTAAAAAAAATTTATATTTTTAATTTTTTTTACCCTTAAAAAAATTTTAAATAGTAAAAAATTAAAAATTTCAAATTCAAGTTTTTCATAAATTTATTTTTACTCATTTTTTTTTATTTTTAAAAATAATTTTTAAATTTTTTTTAATAAAAATTTAAACTTATTACTCATAAACAATATTCTAAAAATAAAAACTCTAAAAAAAACCCACACCAAATAAACCCTTAATAAGGCTCGGAATGAACTCCCCCATGTCCTCCATTGGTTGGCCGCGCTCCTTCACGAAGAGTAGGCAGAATTCACCCAAATTTGAGTCTCTTCATTTATTGAACAGATATTAATTTTTAATTATTATTTTTTTAGAAAAAAAAGATAATAATAAGGCTCGGAGTTATGTTGACAGTGCGGATTTATTCTGTAGTGGTAGGTTTTTTATTAATTAAAATATTTTTAATATATAAATAATCTAATATTTATTTATAAAATTTTAAAATAATAAAAAATATAAATACTAAAAATTAAAG